TTTGTGCTTTACCTGATTCTACTACGCTATCAACACGAGTTAATGCGGCTTTAAGATGCTCATCAGGAGCTACTACTTTACCCAACTGAGTATCTTTTGTTATTGTTTTTATTTTCTCATCAATATCAAGTTGAGCCGCTGTATTTGTATCAAAGGCTAAGAATAACTCTTTATATAAAGCACTAGCTTTTTCGGTAGGAGCATCCGTATATTTTTCATCATCTACTTTGTCAACTCCTTCAGCATTTAACTTAGCATAAGCAGCGGCATAAGCCATAAATGCATCTAGCTTAGCTTCATCCCATGATAATTCATCAGCTTCAGTTTTGCCATATAGGGTTTTATAAAAACCTTCGACAACATGGTTTAAATTATGGATATTAGTTACTAATTCATCTGTATTAGCAGCAGCTGATACGCTGTCACCATCTATGCCATCCACCATAAGGGCTTTTAATTTATCATCCACCTCTGGTTTCCCGCTGTTATCGATGGCAAGTTTTGAAACACCATTAAGATATTTTTCAACACCAATCTCATCGTTTTTATCACCAAGCTCAGTTAGTAAGAGATTTAGCAATTTAGCTTTATTTTCGGTGCTGTCATCAGCAGCAACACCAGCATCAAACACAGCATTAGCTTTAGGTGCACCAATGTCTATTGCTTTAGCTTCTTTTAATAATTCAGCATATCTAGTTTTAGTTAGGTCTTTACCTTGGGCTATTGCTTTTTGTCCATCTGTTCCAACATTACCTGCTGCTTTATAAATTCCCTTTCCTGTTGCTACTGCACCAGCTGTTGTCCCTACAACTCCCAACTCAGCTGGAGTATTGGCTGCATCATAATCCTTAATAAAATCTTTTAATGCGGTGCCAGCTGCTGTTATTTTTTCGGCATCAGTTGCTTCAGTAGCAAAACCATTAGTAACATTAATCCCGGTAGCTAGTGCTAGGGTTAAGGTTAGGGTTTTAAATTTTAAGGCGACCTGTTTTTTAGGTTTCATTGGCTTTCCTCCTTGATAGCCATATAAAAAGTATTCTTACAGAATATCGTCAATTAATAAATTTATTTAGTTTTGTAACAAAATAAACCTATAACCGCGTTATCACAACTATTGGTTATTATCACTGCAAAATTACTTCATATAGCAAAATGCGATAGCACTTGCATTAACAAGCCCTATAAGCCAACTTCCATGTGTATAAGATAATAACAAAAACAAGCATAAAAAAACGATAAAAAAGTATTAAACTATTGTCCTATGTCATAACATAGCCATTTTACATTTGCAAGCATTTATTTGATATTTTTTAAAAATATTAAACCAACTAGACAATATTGATTATTTATTGTAATCTACTGCCAGCTTTTTATTTGAATA